GTTCTACTTTTTGTATTTTGGACTTCATTTTCGGACTCAGTGAAAGATTAAAAAAAAAAAATGACCATCATAAGTCATAGATCAATTATGTTGTAAACTAATGTTATTATTAATATAGAAAAAATGAAGTAATTACCGTTAATGGCTTTTATACTCAAATAAATCTTATATTCAATATAATAATTTCATATTAACAGTAAGAACAATAGTAACAGTTATAGAATGATTTCAACTTTTAAAATATTAATATTGATATAAACTTTTAAAACTCATAAAAAGCGTATCATAATATATTGTATATAATACAAATTAATATGCATGTTTTATTTAGACTTACATAAATCTACAAGTGTATTGATGTGGTATTTTTTGAGCTTAAATTATTGTAGAGAGATTAAATACTCCAAAGTTCATGATGTTTGCATTATTATAAGAAATATACAAATGAATAAAAAAAAGCGGCAGCACAATGAGAGCGTGGCATAGTTGGACTAGTATAGATGATATCTGACTATGATTATAATCACTATCATAAAATATGCTTCGATGCAAATCTGTAGTTAGTGTTTAATTTTAAGAACTTGGTGGATTATATAAAAGCAAAATTCTAATTCAACAAAATTGAGGAAAAATTGCAAAAAAATTATTACTTTAGGCAATGATTTTTACTGAATCGGCAAATGTTTGTCGCATTCAATTTTTAATAAAATTGACAATTTAAGCTGATAATGCTAAAATTAATTTTTTCGACGTAAAAGAAAAAAAAATTGAAATAAGTATAACTTTATGTTACATGACAACTAGTTTTATATAATGTTCAAGACATTCAGTGTACCTCATTATAAGGTATATAAAAATAAATTAAAATACAAAATCCAAAATTTTAATAAAAAAATTGCATATTTTTGAATATGAAAAGTATATTCACTATATCTCGAAATTTTTTTTTTCATAATAAAGTATATTACATAAGATTTAATTTAAAATTAAATAAAAGTATCAATATTTCCAGAAAATTTTCAAAAGTTGAGTTGAAAAAGTTTAACAAATAAAATATGAAATCGTAAATTTTAACACCAAAATTGCATGTGTTTTAACTACGGGAACTATTTGCACATAGAAGATAAGTCATCGGAATAATTTTTTTTTTGAACTTATAATGCATGAAATTTTATCAAGGGTTTATGATAATGTTTTATTAATACGAACAAAATAACTATTCTTATAAATAATTATTGTTCAAGACAAGAAAAAAAAATATCATATTGATAAATATATCATTGATTCAATAGTAATGATATATTTATCAAAATGAACAATGAATTTATTATATAGATCTAGGTTTTTCTCTGGGTGCATCTTGGTAAAATTAATACCTTCTCAGTTTGCCATCGAAGCTAAAACTTAATAACACAAAAACAAGAATACACAAAAAATACCACACCGACTGTAGTGATTTAAGTACAGTAAGTATTTTTTTAATTCGACATTTGAGTTTTACGGTAAACATTACTTTTTGAAGAACTATAATTTGGTGTACTTTTAGAAAGTCACTCCAACGACCCACGCACCTTATAGTTATGCAGGCCGCCTTGGGTGAGGCGACTTCTACCCCGTGAAAGCCAGTGGATGAGGGAGATAGGCCGAAGCTACTCATCATTAAATAGCCTAGACCCGGGCAAGCAGGAAAATGAAAGAGGCAAAGGGATTGTGGCTCGGACCTAAGAGACCCAGCCGTGGTGACGAGGAGGATCCCGTGTCGCGGGGAGGTGACAGTATTCACCCGACGCCAACATTACTTTTTGAAGAACGATAATTTATATGTAACACAAAAATGTACACAAATTATAAACACTTTTGTTAAGTATTAAACTCAACATAATTCCTTTGTTTATAATTATTTAATATAAATACAATTTTTTTACACTTCATGTGTTTTGCTCTTTTACTAATTTTGTTAGATAAGATTTTTCCAAAATTGTATTTGTAAAGTCTCAAGTATAACACTTAACAATTTTTTTTTGAAGTTTAAAAATGTATGCACTGAGGTTACATTATTATATAAATATAATTATACAATTAACTAATATAAAATAACTTTTTCCATACGCAGGGGATCATGGCAAAATTTCTATATCCATGTTTCAAATCAGACAATTGCTGTTGTACATTCAATTAATCAGAGACTAAAAATTATTAAAAATAATTCTTAACTATAACTTGTAATTTAACAAGATTTTATAATATACACGACTTGTTAAAGGTTTTATTTTAGATTACTATTTGTATTTCTTTAGGCTAAGTAACTATCTGTATTAATAATTAATATTGAATTCCGAAACAGTATACTCAACGTAATACAGTTAATATTTATCATTGTGGTAGTCATGATTTAATATTTTATCGTAATAATAATTTGAAAATCATTAACCATAATTAATATTATAATAATACAAATAACCTACGTAACAGACCTCAAGCAGTTAATAAAATTGCGTAGGTCGCTGTGTTTTAGACAATAAAACATTAAACTAATTTATTGCAATAATAATACTACACAATGTACAAATTGTTATTTATTCCCTTAAAGAATTATGAATACCAAGCATGTAAACTTGACTCTTAACGGTCTTGGCAAAAAATGACCTATTTTTATGAATAAAAATTAAATAATAGAAATTTGATTGGTGAGACTTTTATTTCTGACACCTACTTATATTATTAACGACTAAGATGTAATGTGTTTATGTAATCAATAATGTAAACTTGTCTACCGCCTGGTTAAATATGCTTTGTTTGGTGTTAATATATAGCTCGATTTTTGAAAGCCCACTTAAAAAAATCTTTTAAAGATGCATACAAATTGCTGTTACTGACACCAATGCCGAATATGGAAGAAGCTTGTATTGAAAATTAACTGAGTTATAAGAATCATTGATTTACCTTGATACCATATTACAATAACACATATTTTTACACATTTTATTAGAAAAATTAATTCTGATAGATAAAATATTATAATAACTTATAAATAGTTAACATTATATCTATTATCTGAGTAAAAATTCACATCCAAATGGAAAACAAATTCAATTATAATATTGAATATTAAAATCAAAGACAGTACATATATTTAAATTTGGTGACAATTTTGATATGATATAGTATAATTTATGGCGCAATGACTATTCAATTGCCGCCTTCGAACTGATATTCAGCTGCGCTGTTACTGTTGGTTCATAGATGGGTGACCGTACAGGAATATTAACAGTGATTCAAACCACAACTCCAACCATCAGCGTATAAATGGCGACGTTTGTGCTATTAAATACAAGTTCATCCACAAGCAATTTATCTTATAATATGTCGCATAAATGTCGCTTAAAGAGCCCCAAGATAAAAAAAATACATATACAGTTTACGATGTTTTTTTTTCTTTATTAATATATACACAAACGGCACAATAAGAGTATTAGCTAAGATAAACAAGAATGAAGAAGCCACCCACCGATGACACTTTCGTCTTTTAATTATTTTGTTTTATCCTTATACACATATTTTTTTTTTTTTTTATGGATTGCGTAGGTTTCTGCACCATTTACGCTAGGAGGGTTACCAGGGATGGGAGCTAAGGCGTAAGTGGAAACGTTTATAATAATTTTTTGCTTCTTCTAGAATTGTTTTCATACGTTGATCTTTATGCAGAGAGTGATTTGACACATATGGTGGACAATTGGTAATTTTTCCAGTTTACGATGTAATTTGTCATTTATACAAATAGAAGCTATTATAAATTTTATATTTGAATTAGACATTTTAAACTGATTTTTTTGAAATTCTAATTGCTCAAACTGAACAAGACGTGTTGTAGTTTATGAAAACTGTATATAATACACTTTGTACTGCATACAATACAATCTAAATTAATTTACTATTATTCATTTATTATAATTACGCCCCTTGGTGCAAAAACGCAAACAAATATATACAAGTTTCATATACTAATTAATTATAAATAAAAATGACAAGTAATTAGACGGTTAATGCTTTACTATATAATTAATAGATAATACTAAAATAGTATACCATTGTTTTAGCCGAAAACAAGTGTTAATTTATGATAATAAAGACATATTTACTAATATTGTAACTAAAGTAGAAGACGATAACTTGTTAGTTCTTTTAATTAAATATCGGTAGAATTGTATAATCTTCTTAAAACGCATAAAACTAAAGAAAATTAATTACAAAAATGGTGTCGTTCTATCGATTATAAAAATATCATCGGTGGCTTTAAAGTACAACAGCACTAAATGTGAAATAAAAAGAAATATCTGATGGTTTCAAATGTTACTTAACCGGTCGATTTTCTTTCGTGTAATCCCATTGCTTGGCTGTCTTAGACGTAACCGAAAGATGTGCTCATGATCTATGCACTACGAATAAGTGAAATCAATTTGGTTCGTGCACCAAAACGTTTGATAATTGACAGTAAATAATACAATTTACTTAAAATGTCTATTACTGTGCCATTAAGTTATCAAATGACTAGGGGGTTGTGACTAAGTAATGCTGAAACGAAAGTGTTTTTCGCATCAAAAGTTATTTGTGTACATCAAACACTTAATGATAATGTAAACATTGAATTCGTGAAGTAGTTCAGCATCCCATAAGTAGAAAACAGGGAAAACAATATAACTGTTAAGATAATAATATAATAAGTAACGTTAGGATAGTGCACCGCCGATAATCGTTTCGTGATGGTCTCTCCGGATGGACCGCCGAAGAACGATGGCGAGCTGGAGCAGAACAAAAATAGTAACAATAATAACAATAATTACACTACCTGTGGTCAGCGGCCGCGCGCGGGGTCTTCGAGAGTGGGCGCAAGATCGATGCTGCTGGTGCTGCCGCCGTCGTCTTTTGTTGCCTCGCGACGTTGCCCGGGACGACGACGGCTGCCGTCGCAACCGGTTCCCAATAGGAGGCGCGCACCGGCAGTTCTCGGCCGGATCACCGACCGTCGTGTTGTGCGCTTTGTGTGTGTGGCGTGTGCTTTATTGTGGTGCGCGCTCATCAATACTCATTAGGATACCACCATCTCATTGTTGTGCCGTTTTTTTTAAGCGACAATGTTTTTTCATGTTTCTTCGTTTGATCGCCGCTCTACATAAACCAATAACACAGTGGCGGCTGCTGCCATGTTCTCCGGCAGGACTAGGTCCAGTGTCCGGCTCAAGGATCCAAAAAGGTTGGTCTCGTCTTGTTTTAAATGAACGTTTATTACTATTATTTTGTTCGTTTATTATTGTTTTGCACCTGCAAATGGTTCGGGCCGATATAATGCGGCAGCGCATGACAAATGAGGATTAATATTATCATCGGAAACTCGTGTATACCGGTTTGGGTGGTCCACGGAGAAGGTCCAGGTATGAGGGCGGCCCTCACCCTGTTACGTCCGACGTCTTCACTGTATCGGAGACCTTTCATTACCGTTTGGCGTTTTTTTTACGGTTGTTTCTCTTCCTCGTCCCATACACACCGTCTGAAACACGGAAAGATATTATCGATTTTTTAATAACCCCGTGTACCGTTCGATTGTTGTTTGCGTTACGAGAGATTTATCGCCATTAAAAGGTCTGTATCCTCTAAAGCAGACGGGGCCGTTTACACGAACGGGTTCATTTTGGTGTTCGTTTCCTATAACCGTCGCCGCCAGTTTGATAATTAGTTGTGTAATTTCAATAATAACATTGCATGTACATGTGTCATATTTGCCCATTCTCTTGAATTCGTAGTTCGGGTCTCGGTTCCTCGACTACGAGGAATTCGTTACGTTTCTCCATTAAACGACCGACAAAAGACACGGTACTTTGTTGGCGGCTTGTGTTGATACATAAAAATAAAAATTGTGATCGTGTACTCGATATCAGACGCCGACAAAGACTCGGTGGCATTACTGTTTTTGTATGGGGTGCGAAGTGAAACTATCGTGCTGATAAATTTCCAAACATGATATTCGTCCAATGTTAGCAGGGCCAAACCAGGCCGTTAGTACGGTAATTATTGTAAAGTCCGGACTACTGCCGTTATTGTGTTACTGCTGAGAGTGAAGAGATTTCCCAAGAGATCGCTATCTCCTAGGAACTCCGGATCTGACTTTATGTGTGCGAAATTATCATACCACTTCACTTCCCGAGTCATTCAATTACTCCGCACACTCTTGTGTGTTGTTTTTATTAATACGTTTTTTTTTTTTAATCTGGTATTGTTGTACAAACATGTCTTAGTACGAAATACTTGAGAGGGAATAGGTGGCGGCAAAAGAAAACACAATCTACCACAGACTTTCCGTGGCCCGGCTGTAATTGGCTTTAGTTTCGCCGACGCGTGGGAACATTCTCATTTGTGTACTCACAATGACGACGAAAATCATTTAACGAACTGCGTTCTGTAAAGTTTAAGGTTGCTGACGGTAAATTAGACTGTTCGCTGGCTTCTGAAGTGATTACAGCCGATCGTCAGCTGGATTTAAGACAAGCGCCGGAATCTTAAGGCTACACTGTCCAAAGTAATTAATTTATTCGGTTGGGTAATGATTCGTATATCGTTTAATCGATGTAATACAGAAATCTACCTAAAATTTTTCAGTTGAAATGATAGGCGGTATCAATGGCGAACTGACACGAAATTAATTGAATATTTTTTATAGATATAGTTATTCAGAAGACATATCGAAAAAAACTACCTGATGCTTTTAGACTAGAAATGCTAGGATTCAATGTCGAATCATTATCATAAAGAGCCAGCTATGTCCATTAAGTTTAGATGTATTTTAACATAAAAAAATCAGATAAAACAAAAGTCTTTGATGTTTGTTTAGTTGTTATTGTTGTGGTCATTTTGGTTTAACCTTCGGGGCTGCAATAAATGGAAGATATACATCGAGGTAACGATACATGTACACCCTTGTGTTCATCTTAAAACGTTGTCGGCGTAACGTGTCAAATAAGAATAAAACACGTGTATTATATTAAATTTATCGCACAGAGAATACCTCAACTGTGTCAGTTATTTATTTTATCGACTCCAATTGTAGACCTTGAAAATCCTTCGTTTCCGTGAGAAGAATTGTTCCAATGCGCTTAGATGTCTACAATAGTCTGTTAATGATTAAAAACATTTATTTTTATTACAAATCTAGCCATCAACTAGTTGAAATATGTGTTAAAATATGAAATAGTTATTAACGTTTCAAAATATACATTTAACTTGAATTTTTTACTATCGTATTTGATAATCTATTTAAAAATGACTTTAAAAAATATATATATGATAAAAATCGCAAGTATTACCCAACAAGTCATACGAAAAACAAATTAGTAAAAATAGTTTATTTAGATTTACTTTACTAATAATATGACTCTGTTCATTACTAATCAAGCCTAGTCTTTTTTCTATAAAACTGACGCTTACATGGTTTGAAAAATAGCAAGGTGCTTCAATTATTAAATAATTTGTAATCGAATTTTGAATTGGAAGTACCGTAAAAAATATTTGAAGATATGTTAACGATTGATGAATATTCGAGTGCTTAATAATGTAGGATTGTACTATTGTTAGAATAAACACGACTTCCTACTATCGATATCAGCATAAACCGTTCATCTTTGATTGTGATGATAAACTGCAACGGGTAGGTTACGTGCTAACGGTAAAGTACGTTTGCTCTTCACGAATATTTAAATTTCCGTATACAATTTTTGTCAGGGTAATAAATGTACATAATACACATGTGCTCATATTATAAAGTCTAATAAATACTTTACATGCTAAATATATGTATATAATGCATAATTTTTGTATCTATTTTACTGTACTATAACGAAGTGGAATAATATTCACTGAATTATTTTTATGTAATATTTTTAACCAACACTAGTACAATAAGATCAAAAATTTGTTTTGTATCAGAATAATAGGCAAAAATCACAAGGCTTGAAAACACTTTCGACGGAAATAATCTACAGTTATGATTAAAATATTATGTAAATAATATGAACATTCTTTATAAACTTAATTTTCAACGTAAACAATGTTTATGTGTCGTTCTTTATTATTATTGTTCTCAATAGTTTTTATTATTGTTTTATTGGTAAAACAATCATACGAATTAGATAAACACCTTCGGTAATGATTTATTCAAACTATTGCAAAATAATGTGTGATATTAGAAATACAACACAGTTACTTGTTAAATAAAAATTAACTGACGTATTAGAATATATTATTTTTTAGACGGATTCATCATCTACTATTTAATTTAATTAAAATTTATTTTACGTAACAATGTGAACAGTTAAATACCAAATATTAACTTCCAGTTTTAATAAGATTATTTATATTCCATTAATGTATTTAAATCCGTTTCGGGTTATGTATAAACGATGCTAATGGCACTGGCAATGAATTTCCAAAAATGATTTTTCGTTAATACTAAAAGCACAGCGGTCGGACGGCTTTACATCTTTGCGATTGTGTTCTATAAATGACGCCTGTTAACGGTATAAAAAGCAAGGTCGTGTCGACGACAATGTGCACAGCAACTATGCTCCGAAGTGTAAATTTGAATTTCTAAAATGCCAATTTGACGCATATAGATCAGGTCGTGTTGTACGATTATGCAAATGTTGCGGATTTTTAGATTTAGCTGAAGACCTCTGCTGATGACGACGACGATAATGATAATAATAATAATAATAATAGCATTTGGATCCATGTGATTTGCTCGTAATTATTTACTCGGCCGTGATTCGCTTAGTCAGCATCACATATGCATACGGGTCCGTTGACCTCAAGGCTAGCCAGCCACATGGCTGCCGTGCATCTAGGATGATGATTATACCTGTACGCCACCGTATCGTAGACCATCTTAAAAACGCTCGGATAGGTCACTTTGTCGCCAGTGGAACATACGAGACAAAATGGAATAAAAAAAATACCAGATAGACCCGAGTATAGTATCGACAAGTAGGTTTGTTTCTCGCACTTCCAGTGCATTACAGTGTGCATCGATAGTAGCGGCTCAAGTATAGTCTCGTCATCGTTTAAAAGTGTCCGACCAGTCCCTTTAGTCTGCGACTTCGGACCTGTGGAATAACAATAACTTTGACACTTGAAAACGTTCGAACGAGTGACTTCTCGTTGCGTCCAAAAACGTGAAAATATAGTTGCAAGCACATAGAGGTTTTTTTAATAATATTGCTGTAACTTATTGAACAGGTTGGAGGGGCGTAAGTAACCGTGAAAAGAATACACCGAAATAATTACCACGTTTTCGGCGTGAACATTAATTTAATGACACCTAAGACGCGCTCGTTAAATATTAAAAAACAATGAGTGTGTCCAATCAAATGTGGATCATTGGAATAATAAACACTGAAATATTAAAACACCTCATGTAAGAAAGAATCAAGTTTATTGATTCTACTTGAACGTATAAAAGAAAATAAAGTAATTCGGTGTGAGTGCTGACCCATGTCCGACTGATTATGACATCTATTAACGGACACATTATAAATTTAAACACCGGTCAATATTTTTAAGAACTTATTTGACAAATTAAGAACAAGATTATATTAAAATGGATTATACACAAATTTTGCTAATCAATTGTTCGTTACAATTAATGTTTATTTACTGATTAAAGATTTTGAAACATCATAAAAAGGGAATTATAAATTTAGTTATGATATACACGATCTATTTCACTGAAAAAATATGATCCTTATTATTTACATAAATTATAACATCAATATAATTAACTGTATTTCCTAGTTATTTTGTTAAATTTCCTTATATTTTAACGAAGTATGATTATATATATATATATATATATGATTAGTTTAATAATCAATTGTATAATATAAATATGATAAATTTACTTCCGATATTAAAATATCTTTTAAATTAAACATACTTAATATTTAATTAATCAATTAATACCTAAATAAACGTGCAAAGGTAAATAAACTGTATAATTAGTGCTATATAAATATGGTTGGGGCATGAAAAATTAGTCTTTCCTCCAATAATTGTGCATGATTTTCATTTGTAAAATAATTAATATTTACACAAGAGGCTATTTTTTTACAAACCACTAAAAATTAAAAAAATAAATTAGGTGTACCAAATTTAACTTGACAACTTCCATATTGTTTTCTTATATTTTTAACCCTCGGTAGCGAAAGC